CCCAAGTCATGGAATGTTTGAGTTTGCACTTTTTCTTGTAGAGATCGTATCGAGTTATATTTCCTTTGAGTGTGATCCTACGCCTGACTCTAGGTACTGCGTCTACGTAAGACTGATTCTACGTCTAATAAATCAGGAGTCAGCTATTTATTTAAACACGCACGATGATAAAATTCCACACATACTATCCAGTGTTCGAAACTCACAGGCGCCAACGCGCCAAATCGGCCGAGAAATCGGTCATGAAAAAATCGGTTGCCTAAATATGAAGGCTCTCTACCATCGTGGCCCCTAAAATTTGCTCCCCCCCCCCTCCCCCAAAAAATCATAGTTTTTCTGCTTGGTGACTTGTCGACATTTCTCCTAAGTAACAGCTACTGGTTCTGTAACTAAAACATCTTGCGTCTAACTTGTCACTAAATGCGCCGTGTTACATAGGCAAAAAGTCAATTTGGCCCCTAAAAAATCTCTAACGGCCCCTAAAAATCTAGCTTGATGCGCCACATGGCTCCTAAAACTCCAAGGAGAGTTTCGAACACTGACCATACCTTAAACAATGACAAATATTACCTCGGTCTCACTCAAATGCTGGCAAAAAAAAAAAAAAACCTGTATTATACTGAATGCTACGATATCGTCTTCGTCATTGAAAAATCGATCCATCCGTCTGCCTAACGACCGCCATCAAAGCCCGTGGCTTCAATCAGCGATGAAACCCTCCGGATGCACATTAAAACTTCCTCCGACCGATGAAAGATGATGACGTCACGAATTGAAGAATCGACTTCCCAACTCGCATCTTTAAATAAATTTCCCTCCAGTGAATTCCTCGAGAAGCATCTCCTCGTAATGACGGCATTCTCCCTCTCGACGAATTAATCATTTAAATTCGGTAAATAAAATCGGCCAGGGTGTTTGTCGACAAAGTCGTTCATTGAAGAGGGCTCTTGGCACTGTTCGCAGTGCGATTGACACCAAAGGCGTGGCGTGCTTTGCGATATATCGATTGATCCGCCGTATAAACCCGTGGAAAAAGATCGATAAACAGGGTGTTCGCAACGAACACTTTAAAGATCGATTCTTTACCATAGCTTCAAATGGAGAAATATCGATAATCGATTGTTCACGCCCCGCCACTGATTGACACTTTTTTGTGAGGTGATCACCTCATTCTACTCTGTCAACGAGGGTCGGGGTTCAAATTGTTTTTCAAGTATATACTGAAGTTGGTTTCTTTACGGAAGCAAGTGTACCCCTGTTCCAGCATTAATTTAATTCAGTGGGGCATGACTTGTTGAAATGTGTTTTTTTGGAATATTATCTCGAAAAAAGTATAATTAGAGAGAGCAGATAATTTAGACTGCATTTTGCGATACGGAATTACAATTTCTGGCTCGTTTTTTAAAACAACGTACATGCCACTCCTTCCCTACGCACATAGGTGCTTTTGTGGAGGAGCCAGAAATAACAGTGGTTTCTCATTGCAAAATGTAGTCCATTTTGTCTGTTCGTGTTTTTTGTCACCATTGATTTAACGATAAATGTGATACATGTGCTGAATTTGTATTCAATATAAATTTAGGAAAATTTGATTGATTGATTTAAAAGAATTAGTTAAAAAATTGATTTAAATTCAATTAAGGTCTCTTGACACTTCGTCGCCCCTCTGGTGTAAGGGCGAATCTCGATTTCCGCACGAGCCCCAGAAAGCATGGATTTATGTGTAAAATAGGGCTCACGTGGAAATCGAGATACGTCCTTGTTTCCTAGGGGTGACGACTTATGTGGTTTCATCCTGGTAAGAAACACGTAGCCGCAAATGCTAGAAAAATATATGTATATTTTACATAGCAATATGTTTCAAAAACCTGTTTGGAATGGGTATGAATTTGTGGCCACATTTGAAACTGAAAATATTTTGATCGGTCGAGCGAACAATAAGCCACATCTGTCTAGAAACGAGTAGCATGAATTACAACAACATAGGTACGTCACGTCGAGTCATTACTTCGTGCTGTGAGCACTGCGATTAGTGAGAAATGGGCCTTATTAATCCGCCTGGCCATAATGCTGAAGAGTTGCGGAAAAGAGCAGTAAGTCCAACCCGAGATGAACTTCGAGACTCATAAAGCCACGTGCTGGCAATGACTCACACAGGGATGCACAATGCACATACTGCTGTCTTATCTAACACGGCAGAATGAGATATGACAGTGATGTCGCATACGTGTTGAATAAATGGCGTGTGCATCCGATTGCCAAAGGAATGAGACAATGAGTCATCTTTCGCTCCTAGACAGCAATATCATCTGAATGAAAAGAGAACTGACCACGGGTAGAGTCCACGCCAAATAAGTGTACGCACCTCTGAACTGCGACAGAAGATCGGCTGACGTCACTTCTACATGTAGAGTGAATGGAATAACTACGATGGTGGATTTTCTGTTGCAGTCTAAAAATGCATAAACTCATTTGGCGTGGACTCTTACTTATTTGCGAACGTCACTTAACACTCTTTCCTCGGTGAAGTCACAGACGTACGAGTATGCTCTCACCCCCGCTACAGCGTATCCAATCAAAAAACCAGTCAAGTGGAATAAGTACAGTGATTCAATTTGTGATTGGTCGTTTGACCACACCACACACATACTGAATTATTCGTTTTCAGCGAATTAGACTAACTATTTGCGTGAAAATTCAACACGATATGTATCCTGCAATCGCATTACTCAAACGAGTCTCTAATTCGTATATTGAAGCTATGAAACCCTAACACTTCCAGGGAACGGCTACAGCCGCTCAGGACTATTCCACGCTATTTTCCCTGAACCTAGGGGACGTTCCAACACACCGCAGCCTCAAATGCCGGGTGGTAATATAAGCTCGGACCCAGGGGTGGAAAGTTGCAGACACGGCGGGGGG